AAAAAGATGTTGAGACTCTAGAAAGAGTACAGAGAAGAGCAACAAAGATGATTAGGGGACTGGATGCTAAAGCATATAAGGAACAGCTGCTGGAATTGGGTATGTCTAGTTTAATGAAGAGAAGGACGAGGGGGGACATGATAGCAGACTTCCAATATCTCAGGGACTGCCACAAAGAAGATGGAGTCAAGCTATTTTCCAAAGTGCCTGAAGGCAGGACAAGAAGCAACGGGTGGAAACTAATCAAGGAGAGAAGCAAGGATCTTGATTCCTCTTTGAAGGACTGTCAATCTTGTTAATTGGTCACCTTGTTGGACGGAGGTCTTCGCCACTTACGAGGTTGTGACCTTCAAAAATTCTTCTCTGACCTGTCGGTAAACACCGAAATGGTGTAGGGTTTCCTGCCTGAGCAGGGGGTTGGACTAGATGACCTCCAAGGTCCCTTCCAACTTTACTATTATTTTTATTATTTTTATTATTTTTATTTATTTATTATTATTATTATTATTAGGAATAAGAAAGCAAGTTTTCTGTTTTTAAAATTCATGCATGTTCCATTCTAGTTCCATCCCTTTCTGGAGAAGAATGTATTTTGCAATATTTCCCAGAAGAAACTATACTTGGACCAAAATGGGGAGATAGCAGCAGATCTGGACATCATGATGTGGCTGGTTCATCCCAAGAAAGAACCCATGGAAGAGATTTTGGGAAGTTTTGAAAGACAAAGGCTTATTATCAACAAAGACCTTCTGTCAAGGCTGAAGCTGCTCAATAAGGTGGGTGAAGCATTGCTGCATTTTCTCAGTTTTCCAATGCCTTAAGACCCATTTTGAGTGGGCTAAGACTAGTCACCAAGATGAATGAATGACTGAGAACTGAACATGGGAATATAACACTTATAGTCATCTTAGGCTGCTTGGAAGACTTCAGTAATATTGACCAAAGTCAAACATGGAATGCTGGATGACAATTCTTTAGGAAGACAGATCAGGGCTTTTTTGTATCCAATTTGCAATCTGAAATTGCTGTAAATCTGATGAGAGAGCCATCAAGTGCTGAAGATTGTGATCCCCATAGCCTCAATTCAATCTTGCCCAGAATTAGCAAAAAAAGAAAGCAATTTGATTGAGCAGTTTCCAAGTTCATGTTTGGACTGAATACGATGAAACCGAATCAAGCCTGGATAGAGATCCCATAGGCCAATTGGGATCTTAGCTTTGGAATTAGGATTCACTTTGTCCTGATTGGAGGGAATGTCACTTTAAGGGCAGGTCCATATTCTCTTATGGTTTTAAGCAGCCCAGATCTGGCCAAAGCTTTCCATGCCTCTCTTTCACCCCAGTGGGATATCGCAATAGGCCACCTGCTCTTTGGAAAGAGGTCTAAGGCTTTCAGTTCACATGACATCAGAATGTTGGTCTGATAATAACCTGACTCCAAAAACTGAAGCATCGTGACATGATTTTGACCTAAAGAAAAGTCTTTCCTGATATCTGAACTCAGACAATTTGATAAGAAATGCAACTTAGATTTGATCTTTGGTTTAGAAGATTCTTCTTTTGAAAATCCCATAAATATAATTGTTTCTGTTGATTTTTATCTACCTTAAGTCTCTCTGAGCAAAATTTAAGTAGTAATAAATGTGGATTTGCCTTTCCATACTCGTCAGTGTCACCTAATTGTTGTTTTTCACTAGAAATGACCTCTTTTTTTTTTGAATACCTAGCTGGGCCTTAGAAACACAGTGCTAGGCTGCATTAACAGAGGGATAGAATCAAGATCATGTGAAGTATTAATGCCACTTTACAATGCCTTGGTAAGGCCACACTTGGAACACTGCATCCAGTTTTGGTCACCACAATGTCAAAAAGATGTTGCAACTCTAGAAAGAGTACAGAGAAGAGCACAAAGATGATTAGGGGACTGGAGGCTAAAGCATACAAAGAATGTTGCTGGAATTGGGTATGTCTAGTTTAACGAAGAGAAGGAAGAGGGGGGACATGATAGCAGTGTTCCAATATCTCAGGGGCTGCCACAAAGAAGAGGGAGTCAAGCTATTTTCCAAAGCGCCTGAAGGCAGGACAAGAAGCAACGGGTGGAAACTAACCAAAGAGAGAAGCAACCTAGAACTAAGGAGAAACTTCCTGACAGTTAGAACAATTAACCAGTGGAACAACCTGCCTCCGGAAGCGGTGAATGCTCCAACACTGGAAGTTTTTAAGAAGAAACTGGACAGCCATTTGTCCAAAATGGTATAGGGTTTCCTGCCTGAGCAGGAGGTTGGACTAGATGACCTCCAAGGTCCCTTCCAACTTTATCATCATCATCATCATCATCATCATCATCATCATCATCATCATCATCATCATCATCATCATCATTATTATTATTATTATTATTATTATTATTATTAACATCCCTTTCCCACCCAGGGATTATACTCATGACTCATGTGCTGCAGCAAAGGATTCCTGGTTTACCCTTTTACCCTCATCATTTCATCTCCATCTCATCTCACTCCAGTTTTGGAAATGTGGCAGTTAGTTTTGCTCTTGTTTGACCAGCATGGCAGCCATATAAATGGAGGAAATGAATATAATAATAAACAAAGAACATCTCCTTTAAGATTGACCACCCTAATTTGTAAGGAATTTTTCCTTTGTATCTTCACTGGAAGACTTTTTTGGATTACTTTCAAAGGGGAGTAACTTTGCAATGTTTTACTAGTCAAAAATAAATCTTTCCAGGTCCTGCTGATCAGAAGTTTCTTTCTTTATCAAAATTTTAATAAATTAATTAATACATTAATAAATTGTTTCAAATAAATTGTATCCCAAACTTTAGTATGAGCAGATCATCATACTTTAAAATCATGGATATATGAAGAACAGAGGAATTTATGTTAATACTGCTATGAATACAAACCAATTAGCTGTTACTTAATGCTTAAATCTTTTCTCAGTTCCATCCCTCCAGACTTTATTAAGAAGAAAAGTCCTTTAATGCAATCTTGTTGTGTCAGAAGCAAAAAGCAGGAACCAAATGAAGAATCTGCCTGTATCTGTATCTTCTACAACCATTTGGAATTAGTTAGAGATTCTACATGCATCTTTTTTGGATGTTGAGTTATAATACATTTTCTTTGGCATTTGTTATTTTTCTGCTTAGTCTCTGCCTCAGTCCCAATGTGTGGAAAATTGTCATCCTGGATTTTTCAAGCAGGTTCGGGAAGGAGAGCCAGTTTGCTGCTATGACTGCATTCCTTGTCCAGAGGGGACCATCTCCACTCAGGAAGGTGGGTGACACCGAAAGAAAGGGATACTGGATTCATCCATTTATACCAACGTGGAAATCATTCAATATTTAAAATTGTTACCAAATCTATAATGGAAATAGATTGCTTTATCTTCTCACTTCCAGAAACCAAATACTTTGCAAAGATGGATAAAAACTCAATTTATCTTCTTCAATTCCATTAGGAATTAATGTTAATTATTTTATTTATTTATTTATCAAATTTATACAGCCACCCATCCCACAGAAAGTGTTTCTTGGCAGCATACGATAAAACAAACAATTAAACCTTTTTACAGAACTAATTACAGAAATAAAACTTTAAAAAAGCAAGATTATGAGAGTGGAATCTATAGTATCAAGGTGTTACACAAGATGCAATAACTGAACAGGGTCCCTCTTACCGGGTGATCCTCAGCTTCTTGAAAGATTTCCAGAAGACCTCAAATGTTTGGGCTAAGCCCAAATTTGGAATAGAAATGCCTCTTTTATGGTAAGAGTGGTATTGTCATCTGGTTTGAACGAGGGGGCAGTGTACACCATTTTCAGAAATCTCCATATGGACCAAACTGTGTTAGACAACTTTCATCTAATCTCCAAAATGTTTCAGAGGTTTGTTGAAGGCATGCTTGGTACTGTACTTAGGTACAAAACCCACTGATTGAGGTACAGTACTGAGACTGAACTGGTTCCTCTTGAAGATGACCTCTGAAGGGCTCTGGATGAGGATGTGCAAACATCTTGGCCCCTCTGGATCTCTCAGTGTTTTTGACACCATCAACCAAGGTGTCCTTCCAGAATATCTTCAGGGATTGGAATGGGAAGCAGTGGTTTCCAATGGTTATCCTTTCTTCATTAATGATTTCATATTATTCAGGGACAGAGTACAGGCCCTAGGTTCCTGCAATGGACCATCTCTTAGGTCTTGAGTATCTCTTCTTTTCTCTTTATCATTGACATAAAACTGCTAGATGGTATCATTTGGAACCATGAGATGTGGTATCATCAGTACACCATCCATACCTGGGCAGGTGTTGCTATTGTGATGCTGACCCAGCACATTGAGGTAGCATGGATCTGGATGGGAGGAACCAACTTTGAGTCAACTCTGGTAAGATGGAGTGGCCTTCTCTTTTGGGCCATGCAGGGTCTAGTTATAAGCCATTTCTCATTCTGGATGGGGTAACATTCCCCTAGATGGAAATGGTGCAAAATTTGGGGGTCCTGCTAGATTCTCAGCTTCAGCTTGATGTGCTGGGGGCAGCCTTGTCTAGTGGAGTCATTAAGCAGATTCTACTTGTGCTCAATCTGTGCCCTTTCCTGAATTTAGGAGGCTTATTTATGCTTTAGTCACTTCCTGTTTCCTGTGGTGAGTTCTCTGAGTAAAGGATGGTTGTGTGATGCCAGCATCTCTCTTTTTTGGGGGGTTGCATTTTTGTTGTTGTTTTTATCATTGTATATATTGGGGTTTATTTGCTAGACTAAAAACTGCCTAAAGCTTGGATTAAGATGAGAAGTCAGACAAATATTATATATATTTACCTTTTGCTATGTCTCTCCTGTTTCTCAGTATCAGTTCTCATCCAAAGAAGATCTAATTGAAATATGAAAAGACATATAAAAGAAACATTCCTTTCATTTTTTTTTCTCAGATACCGAAAAATGCACCAAGTGCCCAGATGATCAATTTCCAACCAAGAACCAAGTACAATGTATCACCAAAACAAGACACTTTCTTTCTTATAAGGAACATCTGGGCCTTATCTTGGTCTCCTTTGCATTTTTCTTGTTCTTAAAAACAGGCATTGTTCTTATCATATTCCTTAAATACCGAGAAACTCCCATTGTCAAAACAAATAACCGGATGGACAGGATGTAGAACGACCAGAGGGAGGACGAAACAAAAAACAGGAGGAAAAAAAAGTAACCTGTTGGTTCCTTTCAATGTACAGAAGAGGCTGTTGGCCATAAGTGGTAACAGAAGAGTCATCGACACAGAAGATACAACCGCTTTTGTTAGTGTCACCACGACCGGAAGGACCGGTGTTTTGGTCCCTTGTCCCAGAGAAGATGGTTGAGGAAGAGCTTAGCCAACTCCATCATCCTTTCTTGTTCTGGTGTCCAAATTATCATCTGTTCCATCTGGTTGGGAGTTTCTCCTCCATTCCCTGACTCTGACCTGCACTCTCAGCCTGGAGAGATCATACTTCAGTGCAATGAAGGCTCTGTCACTATGTTTTATATTGTCCTTGGTTATATGTGTTTTCTAGCTTCCATTTGCTTCATTGTAGCTTTCCTGGCCAGGAACCTGCCTGGGGCCTTCAACGAAGCCAAGCTGATCACCTTCAGCATGCTGGTCTTCTGCAGCGTCTGGGTCTCCTTCCTGCCCACCTACCTTAGCACCAAGGGGAAATATATGGTGGCTGTTCAGGTCTTCTCCATCTTGGCCTCCAGTGCTGGTCTGCTGGGCTGCATCTTCTTCTCCAAGTGCTACATTATTATCCTGAGGCCAGATCTAAACTCTAAGGAACATCTAATAGTAAAAATAAGGAAGTAATATTAAAACTGTTTCTTTGGTTCATTAAATTTATTTTTCCATTGCAGTTATTATTGGGCTCCCTCTGCATCAGTTTGACAAGTACAATTATTTAAAACCAAAGGAAATAAACGTATATATAGTGCAAAACTAATGAAATTAAATTCTAACATAATCATCAAACAGCAAAATAAACAAATTAATAATTAAAATTGTCATGCAGCTAGTGAAAGACAGGATAAGAAATGAGATAGTTATATTAACATAAGACAGCTGCAGAAGAGACCAGACTCCCCCATAAGGGGGAGAAGGATTCTTTTTCCTTAGGTGGAATGAATATGGAAATCTAAATCTGTGTGAACATGCTCTCTTTATCTCTATGATTTATTCTTGAAAGTAGATGAGGGTAGTAGAGCTGGATATTAAGAACATGCAGATGACCTTCCCTAGTTCTTTCTGCAGTTGTTAGGTCACATCATAATCCTCAGATGGAGCCTCAGAATTCCATGACTTCAGTGTTGACTCACCACTGTCTCAACACCCTTTCTGGGCATGTCCCAAAAGGACTGACCCTACTACAAAAACAGCACCTGGAACACTCAACACCTCTGTGGAAACCTGATCTAGGAAAGAAGGTGGTAAACAGACTGAGACCACATTGATTTCTTATCTAAATAAGCCACATGATCCGCTGGCCTCCAAGGTTTCAGAAATCTGCCGTATGAAAAGAATCTATAATGGAAAATGTCAGGAGCTCATCCCAAAGGCTTTACTATTCAGACTTGTCTAGGAAGCTGCAGGGAGAGCCCACCTTCTCTGAAAGCTGCCTAGAGGCCAAGATTCTTTGCATCATCCTAATGTAGGGAAAAGGTGGGAGCTGAAGCCCAAAGAGGAGAGGGAGAAAAGCTGATGGTCCATTCCCAGATCTTCTCTCCCTTCCTTCTAGAAATAACTCAAAGCAGAAGGTAGAAATGGAAAGATAGAGCATAGAATAATAGGATTGGAAGGGATCTTGAAGGTCTTCTAGTTCAAACCCCTGTTCCAGCAGGAACCAGTGATGGCGAACCTTTTAGAGACCGAGTGCCCAAAAACCCCTGCCCGCCCCCGGTCTGCCCCCCCATCCCCCACCCCGCCTGCCCACAGGACCACTCACCGCCTCCAGGGCCCACCGCAGATTGCCCAGGCAGCCCAGCAACGCTATGGTGGCCACACCCTCTGCCCGTGCCCTGCAGCATCAACAGCATGATGGGGTGTGAGGGCAGAGTCTTGTCTATGCTGCCTGGCTACCATGTCCTTGGCTGTGCTGCTCTGTGTGGGCCACGCCCGAGGGTGACTCTCCTTCAGGGGGGCTGCTGGAGAGGAGGGGGTTGTGGGGGGAGGCAAGGCTGGGGCAACAGCACGTGTGCCCACAGAGAGGGCTACGAGTGCCGCCTCTGGCACCCATGCCATAGGTTCGCCACCCCTGCCTTATACCATTTCAAATAAATGGTTGTCCAGTCTTTTTTTGAAAGCCTCCAGTGATGGAGCACCCACAACGTCTGAAGGAAAGCTGTTCCACTGGCTGATTGCTCCATCTGCCACTTTACTCATAGCTGGAGCCCTATTTGTTATAAAGCTTGTCTGAGGATTCAGATGGTTTATGCAAGACATCTCTTTGTATCCATTCCCTCTTCTCTCCCCCTCCCCCTTCCTTTAAGTAATAACTCTAAGCAGAAGGGAGAAATGGAAAGATCCCTTCATATGCCACTTTACTCATAGCTGGGTCTGTATTTGGAATAAAACTTGTCTGAGTACTGAGGTGATTTATTCAAGACATCTCTCTGTGTTGATTTTCCATCAAGGGTTTCCCTCAGGGCCAAGATCTATTCAGAATACCTTGAAATTTGGGATAAGGTGACCAAATAATTCAGAGAGGCTCCACTAGTTTCAAGGCCATGGATTTAACTGAAAAAGAATCCATTGCCTGAAATCTCCATTTTTTAAAAAAACTCTAGGCCAGTATTTTTTCTCAGTTAAGCTCTTCACCCAGTTCACTCTCTGTGTTCACCTTCCTCAGTGAGAGAAACCTTCTTTCAGTTTCTTATATTGAGAAACCAGTTACTTCAACATAGAAATTAATTAATTAATTAATCAATTAATCAATCAATTAATTAATCAATTAATCAATTAATTAATTAATTAATTAATTAATTAATTAATTAATTAATTTCCATGAAGCTGAGTAGCCAGTCAGGTCAGGTTCCAATTCAACCTGACCCAGAATTCTGTTCGGCCACCCCTGATATGCCCTCCAATATCAATGGTGCAGGAAGAGAAATTGATCAAATAAAGGTCTGACCACAGAAGGCCTGACTGAATTTTGATAAGAAGAACCTGAGTTGTCTGGAACTTGTTTTGGGAGATGGGTGCAGTTGAAGCAGGTTCTGCACCATTTAGCAGTTTCTCTTGCTGAACCTTCACGTGTCTGAAAGAGTCAAAATGGATCCTCACGAGAGACATTGTTTCTGGCTGCCAACGAGCCAGCTGCAGGGCCTCCCTTCCTCAAAACAAATGAACTGAACTAAACAAGAAAAGAAAAGGTACCACCAAGTACAGAAAGGAAAAGGCACCACCAAATGTAGGAATAGGCAACAAAATCTGAATATTTTCTATTCCACCAGTGGACACAAATCGATCTCTTTGTTTACTCTGTGGAAATTGATTTCTCCATGATGGGAATAATCATTATGCAGAAGATAATTGAAACCTGCACACAAAAGCCACAATTGGAAAGGTCTGGATCACTTCATCTTTGTGGGATTTTTATTTATTTATTTATTTATTTAATTTAATTTATATGCCGCCCTTCTCCCAGCGGGACTCAGGGCGGCGCACAACATACTTAAAACCAAAACATATATACAATCCCCCCCTTAAAACCGAATTAAACCAAATTTAAAGTTGTGTCTTCCAAATTCCTAAAAAACCCAGTATAAAATCCACCCTAGGTCAGGTCCGCTT